AGCCCTCCAAGTGGGCCTTCAACCGTACCGCGATCACACTTCAGCGGTGAGCGTGCGGCCACACCTCCTCTTCTCACCTTCCCTCAGGTTGTCCCCTTCCCCTCAGAATTCAAGAAAATGCAATCAAGGACTGCTAAATGCTCTGAGCTCTGAGTCGTTTGCCAGCAGGGAGAGACAAAGGGTGAATCAGAGCATTTCACAGCTATCTTGGAAGAATCAATTATTTCAGAGCAGAACACCAAGCTGCAACACATGCTATTTTACCAAACAGAATGTGACCCAGTTTCCCAGGGCACAAGTGAAATTGTCATTAAGATAAATGGCTGACGGGTTAAAAATTGAAACAAACAGGGCTGTAACAGCCATGAAATGCCTTGTTCATGGAGGCCAAAACACGCCCAGTGAAACTTCCCAGCTAATGGCAGTTCTGAGCAAGTGCAGTGCTGCTCTGCCTTCCAGCACTGCTCCAGCTGAGGGGCCAGGCAGAGCCCAGATCCACTGCACACACCCTCTTTGTGCATTGCCTTCTGCCTCCTGGCCCACAGGTTACATTGATTTCCCTGGCAATGGAAAGGGTTTCTGGGTTCCTTCAGCTTCCTCAGAGCTGCTCCGTCTTTAATGGGAAGTAAAATGCACTTTAATTTTTCTCACTGTGATGTGAACATGGCGATGTCTGGCTGGCCTCTTTTATTTATTGTCTTTACAGATATATATATATATAAGGAAATATATATGTTATACACTTTTATATGTGCATATGTAGTGACATATACGTATATATATGTGCTGCCAGCACAGCGGGGCAAGTAATGGCTTTCTAGTGCTGACAAACACTGCCCACTGCCCCAAGAAGCCATGGGCCACAGAGAGGAGAGGGCACTTTGCCTGCCCTGTCCTTTCCCCGTGACCTTCCAGGCTGGTGTGACAGTGGCCATCCCCCAATATTGCTTCATTCCTGGCATTCCCAGATCATCACTCATAAGTCTGTCTCCATGCCACCCTTCCAATGATTTTAGCTGATGTCTCAGGATCTGCCTTTGCACTTGTCCGTTAGCCATAACCCATAATTAGGGCACCCAGTGGGACTCCATTAATGCTTAGACTTTGGAGGATGCAAGCTGGAAGAAAGGTTGGTTGTTTTCTATAAACATGAGCGAATAAAGTGCTCTTGGATTTCTAGTTTTATGCCCTGCAAGGGAAATTCCTGAGCAGGGTTAGTTTGGTTTTTAAGTATCCCTAATAACCCTTGTAATAATGCCGGCATGCTTGCCCAAGTGAGACATTAAGGAATTATATTTACATAAATGGAGACAGGGACTGTCACTTGTTTTTGTGATTCAAAGCTTCTTAATGAGAACATACACAAAAAAAGTATTTAAAAATCAGCTACTGTTAATTCAACTGAATATCTTGGACTGCTTGGTTTTGCTTCCCACACCTCATGGCAAAACCCATCATTGCCAAAGATCCACGGCCCTGTACCATGGGTGAGGTGCGTGCGGAGAGCACCACCACCAGACTTACCCACCAGGCCTGTACTGCAGCAGAATCAGATTTGTGGTGATGGTGGGAGGGGTATGTTGATCGCTGGGTTGTGTGCTCAGGTCGGGGGGGTACTGGGGTTGTCAAGGGGGCACACCTCGGCCTCACACGCTGAAGCCAATATTTTAGTCCTGACACTGTTCCAAGAGACACGGATGCATGCTTAGCTGGCATCAGTCAGGACTGCCCTGTAAAACCAAGCAGAGCACTAGATGAGGATCCTGCTCCATAATTCCTACCTATTTATACAAATTTAAAAGCCATTGCACTACATTGCTCAGGAAACTACTTTACTGCTTTTTATAAAACCCAGAAAAATGTAAGTCTAGCTGGACAGAAGATCTCCCCATGGCAGAAAGAGGGGAAATATAACTCCATCTTTTCTTTTCTTTTCTTTTCTTTTCTTTTCTTTTCTTTTCTTTTCTTTTCTTTTCTTTTCTTTTCTTTTCTTTTCTTTTCTTTTCTTTTCTTTTCTTTTCTTTTCTTTTCTTTTCTTTTCTTTTCTTTTCTTTTCTTTTCTTTTCTTTTCTTTTCTTTTCTTTTCTTTTCTTTTCTTTTCTTTTCTTTTCTTTTCTTTTCTTTTCTTTTCTTTTCTTTTCTTTTCTTTTCTTTTCTTTTCTTTTCTTTTCTTTTCTTTTCTTTTCTTTTCTTTTCTTCTCTTCTCTTCTCTTCTCTTCTCTTCTCTTCTCTTCTCCTGTTTTAATTTAGGCAAGAAATCCTTCAGCACGTCGATGTAATCAAAAATTTTTCTTTGACGAAGAATAGCGTTAGGATCGGACAGCTGATGCATTATGATTATTCCAGCCATAAGTATGTTTTCTCGATCAGCAATAACTTCAGATTGCTGCTTCCAGATGTATCGCCCATCCTCAACAAGCATTACAACATTTGCGCCGTGGTGGGAAATAGTGGGATCCTGACCGGGAGTCAGTGCGGGCAAGAAATAGATAAATCTGATTTTGTTTTTCGTTGCAATTTTGCTCCAACTGAGGCTTTCCAAAAAGATGTCGGAAGGAAAACCAACCTCACAACCTTCAACCCTAGCATCCTAGAAAAATATTACAACAATCTTTTGACCATTCAGGATCGCAACAACTTCTTTTTAAGTTTGAAAAAGCTTGATAAGGCCATACTTTGGATCCCAGCTTTTTTCTTCCACACATCAGCAACGGTCACAAGAACACTGGTTGACTTCTTCGTTGAGCATAATGGGCAACTAAAGGTCCAGTTGGCTTGGCCGGGAAATATAATGCAGCATGTTAACAGGTTTGTATATATTCCTTGACTTTAACTTGCCAAAGCACGTGTGTCTATGCAGATACAATGCTGACTTTCTAGTCATGCCTTCTCTGGTAGGCACTGCCTAACAAGTCAGGACCTGATCCTGCTTGCTTTTAGAGCAAATGCAGTTTTGTTAGTGCTTCAGTAAGTACTTCAGCTATTTCTTTCCATCTGAACACACAGCCAGACGTAGGTGGTGTCGTGTTTTAGCCTTATCTGGGAACTAAGTACCAGGCAGTCACTTGCTCACCTACCAACGTTCCCCCCAGTGAGGAAGGGTCATCAGAAAAAAAACAAGGGAAGCTCATTGTTGTGGTTTAACTCCGGC